ACAGCAGATGCACTAATGGCTCAGACACAGGAGCAATTATGAAGATGGCTGAGGACCAGGCAGTATTTCATCCTACTGTCTAGAGGGTCACCATGAGTTAAAATCAAATATGAGTGATGGCTCCTCACAACAACAGTTATCATATTTTCATTGTTTTTGTTTCTTGATTGTATCTTTGCCTCCACTTGCACTGAGATTACAAGTACTTGTATGTCTGCTCCCTCTCCACTTCTTTTAAATACTTCCCCAAAGATTGAGAGCAGTGCTCATGGAAGATTCAAAATAAATATCTGTTAATCCCACATGTAAAATGCCATTATTGCATAAAGGTCATAGCTTGTTTCTAATGTCACAAACAGGAAGGAGGGTTTCTGAACGTAACTAGGTCTTGCTCTAAATCCCTGCATTTCGCACCTGCTTTGTGAGCATCAGGTTGAGCCCTTGGCCATACACCTCCTTCAGGCAGAAGGCAGGACTGCAGCACCTGAGCTGCCCCCGCTGCAGGATGGCAATGCAGTCACTGAGCACTTCGGCTTCATCCAGATGGTGAGTTGTAAAGATGACTGTACGACCTGCATCTCAAGAAAAGGTAGCATCAGATCAGCATGGCAAAGGTCCTAGGAAGAGCACAGTGGTCATTTCTTTCTTTTAAATTGAGCCCAATTCTATCAAACTCTATTGATTGATTCTTATCCCAAAAGAAAAAGAGATCGAATGCATTTGTAACTACTCAATTTTAGTATTTTTAATAAAGGGGGAAGATTTAAACATTTTGGACTCTAGTTCATAAGAATAAAAGAAATACGAAAAGAATCTAGAAAGAAACCATAAAACATAGAACCAATATCAACAAGAAGTCAGGTTCACAGCTGCCGGCTCTTGCAGCACATGTTCCAAGATCCTCTGAGGAGAAAGCAATACACTTAAGCCCTAAACTGGGATCAAAGTAGCTTAGATACAGTAACTAGAGATACCCTGCAATTCAAATGGTATATTCCCTTACAATAAGAAAGTCTACACATACACGCCAACTCAAACAGAAATTCTTAAGGAATTTAGATTAATTTTACAAATCAGTGATGGCTGATTAGTGGATATAAGGACACCCAAGACTTATATCTCTGCAGACCTCGAAGGACACGTACTACTTTGCTCTGCCCCAAACATTGCTTTACTGTTTCTTCTCCAATCCAGATGTTGATATTTTACCCGGTTTTCTCTGAAAGTTGGCGCTGCGGGTTAATGTGCTAAACTACAAAGTCATTTGAACTGCAAGGGTGGCAAGTCAAGCTCACCAACAGCTTCTTGGAAACCCTATACAGGGTTGCTATGGGTCAGAACCAACTTGACAGCACTTAACAACAACAGTAATGATGAAGATGATGATGATAAGCGGTCATTGACTGAGCACCTCATATATATGTGTTGTTATTGTGTGCCAACAAGTCGATTATGACCCACAAGACCTATAGGAAGGACTTCCATGAATGTGATCTTTCAGGACACAAACTACCACATCTTTTTCACACATATACATACAAATACACGTTTACTCTGCAAATTACTGCATGATACAATTGTCTCCATTTTGCAAATGAGACTATGAAGCTCCGGAGAATTTGATCATTTCTCTAGGGTAGCATAAGGAGGACTGGAGCAAGAGTGTGATGGACTGCACCAATTCAGTTGCTTTGTGTTAATTTGCTCTGGTGTCTTATTCTTTATTTTTCCTTAAAATGGAGACATAAAGACACTGGTGGTGGTGGTCATTATGTGCCATGGAGTCAGTTCCAACTCATAGCGACCCTGCACAGGGTTTCCGAGGCTGTAAATCTTTATGGGAGCAGAAAGCCTCATCTTTCTCCCACGGAACAGCTGGTAGTTTCGAACTGCTGACCTTGCAGTTTGCAGCCCTATTGGTAACCAGAGCTCCCTGCCAAATTCAGAGATCAGCATATTGCACCAATGTAACTCAGTATTGTACAGGTTAAATCCCTGGTAGATGGATCCACAATGTACTGGTCTTCTGAAGGAAAAATGTCTTTCTATCCAGCAGGAAATATTTGTTTTGCAGTCTTTACATATATTTCATAAACTTCTCTCACAATTACTTGGCAGTTTGGAGCTGTTAGCAGAAATGGCTACACACTTTGATTTTTGGAAATGCATATTTTAAATACCACTTATGTCCTATTGATTTTGTACTTCAATCTGTTCATGGACTTTTCCAAAGGTTGCTACATTATTGTTAGGTGCATCCAGTCACTTTCAACTCACAGCTACTCTATTTATAAGAAATGAAACGCTGGCCCTCTCTATCAATGTCTAACAACTGTTGCTAGGTTTCAGCCTGCTGTTTCAGCCACAGTACCATTCCATCTAGTTGAAGATCTTACTCTTTCTCACTGATCCTCTAAATTACCAACTATGATATCCTTATGCAGGGACTAGTCCCTCCTGATAACGTGTCTAAAAAATATAGGACACAGTCTAGCCATCCTGCTTTTTAAGGAGAACTCTGGTTGTACTTCTTTCAACATAGATTTGTTCTGAAAGTCACTGGTGTCTTTAATATTCTTTACAAATGCCATACTTCAAAGTAATCAATTCATTCATTGCCCAACTTTTGTATGTGTATGAGGCAATTGGAAATACCACGGCTTAGGTCAGACTCAGTCTTCAAAGTGACATCTTTGCTTCTTAACACTTTAAGTATACTTTTTGCAGCAAATTTGCCCAACGCAATATGTCGTTTGATTTCCTGACTAAGGTTTCTATACATAGAGAATCCAAGCAAAATTAATTCTTTCACAACTTCAAAGTTTTCTCCAGTTATCATAATGTTGCTCATTGATCCAGTTATTTGGATTTTTTCTTTATATTGAGATATAATCCATACTGAAGGTTTAGATCTTCATCAACAAGTGCTTCACATCTTCTTCACTTTCAGCAAGCAAGGTTGTGTCATCTGCATATCATAGGTTGTTAATGAGTCTTATTCTAATCCTGCTGCTGCATTCTTCATACAGTCCAAATTTTCAGATTACTTGAAATACTGGTGGCATAATTCCCAGCAAAACATTCCAAAGGAATGCTCCAAAACCAATAAGCATTACTAAATGAAAGCAGACTGAAAGGAGTTATAGGAATATATTTTGGAGAATGCTGTTTGTCCCTAAGACTTTTATTGTATATTGTTTTTCTTTCTGATGTTGCCTTTATGCTGATTACTCAAATGTTCCATCAGACAAAAAAGTAATCCATTTGGTTTACATCTTATCTGCCTTCCTCATCAGCATCAGGGTAGCAGGGAAGTTACTTAGTCTGATTTAAATTAATTTTATCTCAAAATGAAATCAGTCCCTTTAAGCAATTTTTAGTGTTTCTCACAAAAAAAACAAAAAAACACAAAACTTGTTTCTCGGTTTTGCCCCCCAAATTTCTTATTTCCTCCAAATGGAAAGAAGACTGTTTGTGATCTCACAGCAATAGAAAGGGTTCATATCCTCAGGTGCACTGTAGTTTACAGTCTCTGGTGTCTTAGTGATGACTAAAACCAGCTGGGAGTCCTGGTGTGATGCTGTGGGTTAATGCACTGGACTGCAAAGTCAGTTTGAACTGCACGTTTGGTGGTTCAAGCTCACCAGCCACTCCTTGGAAACCCTCTACAGGGTTGCTATGGGTCAGAACTGACTCAGCACTTAACAACAACAATAAAGCCACCTGGTACGGCCCCAACCGCTGTTGTAAATCATTATCATTAATAGTTTGGAAAACAACTCTCAACTGTATCAGCATCCTGGCTGTCTAAGTCTGGTCTCAGATTCGATTGGCTACAGACATTGAATACCTACCCTACATTGCAGCCAGTTCTGAGAGGGCAGCTGCTTTGTCTTGACAGTCTCCCTGGAAGACCCTTCCCCATTCTTAGTGTTGAAGTACACAGGCCATGAGGAAGCACAGGTATACCAATCCTCAGAACACTGTGGTCCTCTGCATTGCACTTTGCGTCAGGAACTCTGCTTTATAAATCAAACACAGCACTGTTGTCTGAGGGACTCTCAATTTCTAGTTACAATTTACGGTCCCAGACCGAGGCCCAAAAAAGCAGAGAAGCCCACATCTGTGTGCTCTACCTGCCTGCTCCCTTCTCTGCCTCTTCCTGCTACAATCTCTCGAAAATCGGAGAACAGAAGGAACAGGATTGTTCTCCTGTTTTCCCTTTGTGACCGACTGGATGCTTTCTTCAATCCTAAGGAGAGAATTTGATGCCCTCAATCCCCTGGGTCCAGCCCTCTATATGTTTGAGCAAGGTTGGGTTTCTTTCTTGTTCTTTCTTTCTGCCTTTCTTTGGTGACAACTCCTAATCTTACTCAAGGAGATGTATGTCTAAGGACAAGGATGAAGAAGATCTTATCCTCAAAAGGCAAAAAAAAAAAAAAAAGTAAAATAACATTTTCTAAATTGACCATGCCATTTAAGTTTCTAAACTAGTTTCATAGTACCAATATTTTTTATTTTTACTATCTCTGACATTTCTTTCAAAATATGAATATTTCTGCACAAAATAAATATAGCAACACTTCCCAGCTGTCAAAATGCAGAAAGTTGTAAAGTTCTAATTGCCTGTCCATCAAATGTCCATGCACATGTGCATGAATGCACTGTTGAGTCAGGTTTCCCAAAACTGAGTTCCAATTATGATCCAATTAACTTGAACAGACTCTGTGGTCACTGGCAAGTCACATGCCCATCTCTTTGCACACACTTCAGTTTCCTTCCTCATCTGGGATAGAGGAGAGTTTGTTCTAAGTGGTCCCCAGGATGCCTCTTTTTATACTCCATCATTCTGGAATGGAACATGGTGTGCATGAACACAAGTTCAACTGAAATGATCTCTTATAACCTACAATGAAAATGTCACTGCAAATTCTATAATATGTATCAAAAATAATGTCAGAAATTCATAGAGTAATAGAGATATTACACAGTGAATATATTTCTGTAAGACTCTATGAAAAAACAGTTTCATTATGAACAAGATAATTTATCTTTTTTGGAATATCAATTGGTTCTTCCCACATGACACCATTCACTTTCCCACCATGTTATGAGAAGAGTAAGGAGAATAATACCAGTGCCTACCTTCTCGATACTTAAGGAGAATATCCCAGATGCTGCGACGGGAACAAGGGTCCACACCACTGGTGGGCTCGTCCAGAACCACAGTATGGCACATACCAATGAAAGCAATGCCAATGGAAAGCTTCCTCTTCATGCCTCCAGAGAGGACTCGGGTTTGTTTGTGTTGGTACTGTGTTAACTCCACAGCCTGAAGAGTTCTGAAACAAGACAAGAGCTCTCATTCCTCTTCTTGAAAACGTTAAGGCTATGCTTCAAATTTCACCCAATGAGCAATGAATTACAGTTACCAAGATGTTTAGAACCCATAAACACACAGGAGACCTAGCACACACACACACACACACACACACACACACACACCCCACAGTACTGCCCTTGTTGATTCTCAGTGTGGAACCACATCAATGGACTAAGTTTAAAGCCAGGTCAGCAGCAGTACCTGCCAAGTATTTTCTGAGAAAATACGTCAGATCTCTCCTCTCTGGAGAAGAATTTCCCTTCTTCCAGTTGTATTCCTTGCCAGAAGATGCACATATCAATAAGACTGCATGTAGAGTAATGGAATGACTATGAACTAGTGTATTCAGAAGGAAGAAAAAGCTTGAGCCTAGGGCCCCTTCAGCATTCACTGGAGGGTGAATTCTTCAATCAAAAAAGTCTTTCAAGAACATTCCACCAGGACTGGAGGAATAGTCATAAACAAACTGTGATATGAAGATGACACAATCTTGTTTGCTGAAAGGGAAGAGGACTTAAGCACCTAATGATAAAGATCAAAGTCTTCAATATGGATTACCCATCAACAATAACAGACATCTTCACAATTGGCCAATAAGCAACATTAATGATGAACAGTGAAAAGACTGAAGTGGTCAAGGATTTTATTTTATGTAGATTCACAATCAATTCCCAAGGAAGCAGTAATCAAAAAATCAAATTCACTGAGCAAATCTGCTTCAAAACGGATCTTTAAAGTGTTAAAAAGCAAAGATATCACTTTGAAGATTAAGGTGAGTATGACCCACGCCATAGATATTTTTTCAATCACCTCATATGCATGTGAAAGCTGTACAATGAATAAGGAAAACTCAAAAAGAATCGGTGCCTTGGAATTACGGTATTAGCAAAGAATATTAAATATATCATGATCTACCAGAAGAACAAACAAATATTTTGGAAAAATACAGCTAGAGACTAGACAGAGAGGTGGAGGAGAATAAGCTATACAACCATGACAAATAAGGGCACAAACAGAACAGTAAACTGTCAGCTGGCCTGATACAGTGTAGTCATTTTTAATCTTTCCAACCAGTGTTCTGGTCAGAATGGCAATCTAACAATCAGTTCTGCTCATCCAGGACTATACACCAGTGAGAGATTACCAAAAAGGTGCAATGTTTCCATGGGTCCCACACCCTCCCAGTGACCAGGAAGTGTGGCCAGCACCTACTCTCACCCACCTGGCTGTTGACACCCTGCTCCCCCTGAGGTGAGATGCATGGCCTCATAGTTTAGGTGCAATCTCACATTACTGGACAGATACACTACCCCCAACAACTGCCCATGCTGGCAGGAACTCCTTCTAGTACAAAGCACCTTGCCACCAGCTGCCTTCTAAGCAGGAATGAATCTGAGCACACCAGGTGATCTGCCCCAGCAGGAACTCATTCCATAACTGGGTGTCCTACCACCCTGCGAATTCCTCCACCAGCAGAGTGGTTTTTGTTAAGTGCCGTTGAATTGATTCTGACTCATAGCAACACAGTATAGAGTTTCCGAGGATCAGCTGGTGGGTTTGCAGTCCCAACCTTGTAGTTTGCTGTCCAGTGCTGATCCTACAATGGCACACCAGGATACCTAACCCAAACAGAATGTCCTTCCCCTTGCCACCTCCACAACACACAGGATCAACACATGTCCCCTCTCCCATTTTCTTCCTTTTTATTTTTTTCCTTTTTCTTTTCTATCCCTTCCCTTGCTTTTGTTTTATTCTATTTCTGGTTTCCTTTTTTCCATTCTTGCTAGCGTCAGCATACGCAGACCCTGGGTTGATCAGTGGCCCTGTGACATGGATGAAAATCCAACCCCAGGGCCCTTCTCAGGATTATGAGCCATGGACCCTGAGGGCCAAAGGAAGTGACCTCCTGACGTCCGGGTTCATTGGTTTTTGCGAACTCACTGGTTGGCTACCTCTGTATAATTTTCTTTGGTCCTAATATTGTTCATTCTATGCTTCTAACTCCAGTAATTGTAGCTTCTCAGAAAATGGTTTCTTTTACAATGCCTCTTTTAATGCCTCCACTGTGTTGGCAGTGCGCGGAGTCCTGGGAACAAATCTTTCTGAGGAACAAGCAATAACCACCTGGGATGAATGTCAGAACTACTCCTTATTTGATTATTCAGTTATGTTTGATATCCATGAACAATAAAGGGTTTGAAACCCCTTTTTAGAGCTGAGGCAGTAAAAGTTACCTCAGATAATTCAGAAAGGCCAGGAACAGGTATATTGGGAATATGACAAAAGGTTTTTAGAGAAAAACTACCCAAGGTTTGTAAATAAAGTGGAATGGTAAATTCTGGGAATGTTGGATTAGAGGATAATAGTGGCAGCCCCATTAAATCACCTCTGAATATAATAAGTTTAACCCAGATGCTCTCCTTCCTCCTGAAAGTATATAGGAATGTGATAATTAAGAACAATGTAGCATTTTAGATATAGATAAATGAAGCCCGGTGCCTGAGATCTTGCTCACAAACAAAAGTTTGCAAAGTGTACAGAAACAGCTTGGCTCCTTTCAGGAACCTTGCTTTATGATAAGTATCCTTGAGAAACCGCACGTCGCTGCTCTAGATCATTTAGGCCTAAAAGTTAATATATAACAGCTTGATTGAACCTTTTTTCTGTAGAAATAAGAATGTTAGATTGTTAAGAAAAACTATGAAAATATCTTAAAAGTTGTTTCGTGAATCATTATGTCCTATTTTGAATGATTAATCACATTTCAGTTCTGTATCCTATCTTATCTAAAGAATCACATCCTCCCTTTGTGAATTACATCCTTCCTTTGTAACAAATCTCTCCCTAAAAAAAAGAATAAAAGACTGAGGTAGAGTTAGATCTGTGTGCAATGCTAGGCAATATGTTTGCAGATCTACCTACCTGCCAGCTTGCATCATATCTGTGTGTCTGTCTTTTTTGTATATATTTCGTCTCTCTCTTTCTCTATCCCTTTCGCCACCAGATCTCCCTTCTTCGTGACACCCACACTTCCTTGTCGAGGCTGAACCCCGACATACGACCTCGACAGTTTCTTGTTTCTTTTTGCCTTTCTCGTCTATCCAAAACCAAAGACAAGGAAGAAAAATCTCCTAAAAGCAGTTTTCCTTTAACTATTTAGCTTTGGGAAAATGAAAATTCAAGACTATGTAAGCTCTGATTTCACAGGAGCATTATTCAAGCAAGAAGACCAGAGGATAATATATTTAAAACTCTGAAAGAAAAGAAAAATGCAACTAAAAATTATATACCCAGCAAAACTGTCCCTCAAATACAATGGTGAAATTAGGCAATTTCCAGATAAACAAAATTAAGTGAATTCATAAAAACCACACCAACCTAACATGAAATATTTAAAGGAGTTCTTCAGATAGAATTAACTACAGATACAAACCTGAGATTAACATATATAACATCACCCCAAACCTGTTCAGATATAAAATAATATATAAACTTAAAAGACAGAATATCAGTAGACAAATCTATAAATTTATGAATGATGATTACAAAGTAAAAAGAATAAATAAACAGTATGGTTATAGAACACTCAAATGGAGAGGAAGTCAAGACAATTTCAAGAAAATATGATGGTGAGTAAAAAATTATCCGCAGCTGGTTATACTAAAACTTCTGTTGGCTGCACTGTCTTATCAGCACTTTCAGTTCAAGGTCACTGAAGTGCAAGTGTGAACACGGACACCTGCAAACAATATTTAGACCAATATTTGAAAAAAGGTAGAAAGTTTCTTTTTTAAAAAATCATTACTGATGATGAGACAAGGATTCACTACTACCAGCCTGAAAGTAAAGAGAAGTGTTTGGAATGGAAACATCCTCAGCCACCAACTAGGAAAAAGTTCAAAGTCAACCATCAGCTGGAAACGGTTATAGTTGATGCTTACAGGATTCTCAAGGGTCAGTATTGGAACACTATCAGGAAAAATGTTCAATAATCAACAGTGCTCGTTACAGTGAGATGCTCACAGAAGAACTGAAACTTAAACTATGATTAAACACAGAAGACTGCTATCCAAGGGCACTGTGATCTTGCATGACAATGTATGTCCACACACCTCTGTCCACATGGGCTGACACTCTGCAGAAACTTTGTTTTGATGTGTTAAAACATCCTTCCTATAGTACTGATCTTGCTCCATTACACTTTCACCTGTTTGGTACCCTGAAAGCAGCCCTTCTAGCACAATGATTCCCCTCTGATGAAGTAAAGACAGCATTTGTGCATTCATGGCTCACAGCTCAGCCTAAAACATTTTCTAGTGAGAGAATACGAAGGCTTGTTGACAGATGGACAAAGTGTATTGAAAGGCAAGAAGATTATATCAGAACATGATGTATTTGTCTTTTCTAAAAGTTGATTAAACTAAATTCTACAGACAGAGTATGGATAATTTTTGATTCACTCTCATAAAAGAGTTTTAAATGTATTCATTTACATAAGACTAAAACAGGGCAGATATCTCACATCATATACAAAAATGAAGTAAAGATAAATCAAAGACCTCAATGTAAAACCTGAAACTATAAGTCAAAAAAGTGGAAGAGGGCAAACTTAGGTGCCCTGTTGTTGTTGTAACATGCCACTGAGTCAGTTCTAACTCATGTGACCCTACCTACAACAAAATGACACACTACCTGGTTCTCACAAATTTTATATTTGATCCCATTGCTGCTACCACTGTGTCAATCCATTTATTGGGGGTCTTCTTTTTCTTTCACCCTCCACTTACCAAGCATGATGCCCTTCTTCAGGGATTGGTCCCACATGTAAACATGTCCAGAGTATGAGAGACCAAGTCTCACCATCCTGGCTTCTAAGTAGCATTCTAGATGTACTTCATCCAACACAGATTTGTTCATGGTTCTTTTAATATTCTTCTCCAACATCATAATTCAAATGCA